AGGGGAGGAGGGGGGAGGAGGGAAGGGGGAGGAGAGGAGGAGGGAGGAGGAGAGGGGAGGGAGGGAGGGAGGAAGAAAGGAAGAAAAGACAAACAACACATCCAGCTTGATGTGGGACGTATTAAGTGTGAAGTGACCTCTGTTGGAGGATGAGTGGATGATGATCAGAAAGAACTGAGAGACAGTATGGCTGCAGGGACACACAGGGGCCAGGTGGAACTTTGGACGTTACATGAAGAAGTCTGTCTTTATCCAAAGGCAATAAAAAAGCAACCAAAGGTGTTGAGCAGATAGAGGAAGAGGCCACAATCAGATTTGCTTGTAGAAAGACTCACTGTAGCCACACACACCTGGAGGGAAATTTCAATTGAACTTCATCCCCTAGAACTGGATGTGCGACTTGGAGAGTGTGTCTGGTCATGGCCAGGAACTTCCTCACTCACTCATCTCTTCCGCAAGCCTGGCTTCCAGGAGTCAAGTGGGACTAGGCCTGGTTCTCTGGGCAGTGACAGTGTGAAGGGCCGTGACCATAAACCCCAGCAAAGGCACCAGGGAAGGCGGATGAAGAGCTCAGCCAGGGGCTTAGCAGATCATAGACATTAAATTGTGAGTGCAGCCGCCTCACTACCCCTCTGCCTCACAGGAGCAAATCCCTCTTGTCAACACAGTCTCCACATCTATTTAGAGAAGGATTAAAGAACCGGAAGTCCCAGAATGCCACTACCCCAATGAGAGAGAGGAGATTTAAATCCCACCACCATTAAGGGCTCAAACTTTTTGTAAGGAACCAGTTGTTTGATAACTCAAGTCACCAAGATCCTAGCCTTGGGCTCTTTGCCCGAGCAGGGGGCTCCATTCATCCTCTCACAGGTATGACCGCACTCACTACAGGCAGCCTTAGCCCTCAGAACCACAGCAGGTCAGCCAGACCTCCACAGGACTCAAACCCAGCCTTGTAGGGGGAGGTGAGAGTAGAAGAAAATGTGATCACCATGCCTTTGGAAGCAGGGCTGGGTCATGTTGTTGTGGTCTGTTTGGCAACAGTAGTTATCATGATAACCATGCCCTGGCACATGGCACCCCTTCTCTGTGCAGGCCCTGGCTGTGGGTTTAGACACACCTCACCCCTTTCTCATATCTCCTCTTCAACAGGAGAAACTGAGCAGGAAGATTAGGACACACAGCCACATGGCCAGAGAGTGACAGAACCCGGTCTCAACCTGGCTCCCTTAACATTTTAACTCCTTTTCTTTCCCCAGACTCTTAGCAATGGGTCACGGTCACTGGGTGGCCAGAGGGTGAATGTGTTTACTGGTCCAGCAAAACAGAACATGATGCAAACCAAGAGAAGGCAGGTGTCCCAAGGAAGCAGTAGATGGGAACATAAAACATGAAGAGGACTCCAGGCTCTGAGACCAGAGAGGACAAAGACTCCCACGGTCCAGAGCTTGGTTTATATTTTCAGCTCTCAAGGGAGAAGGAAAGCCAGCATGTGGTCACGAGGCCAATTTGTGCAGTAGTGGGGATAACATGGAGAGGAAGCAGGAAGAATAGAACAAAACAACAGCTGAGAGCAAGCACTCAGGGAGCTGCAGTGACTCAATAAGTAGGGACATGAAGGATCAGGAAACTGAAAGCAGTGGTCCAGACAGCCACTGCTAAGCAGAATAGTTGATTTGCATGAGCATCTTGGCCAGGGTGATGCCCAGAAGGCTGACAGGATACAAGATGTCTTGACAGTGTGTGTGAGTGTGACCGTGTGTTACATGGGAGTGACTATGGGTGCAGGACATCTGTGGGGCATGTGACTGTGACCATGTACACTGTGTGTGTGACTATGAAACCTTGTGTGTGGTGTGTGATGGGTGTGTATGACTGGGTATGCATGTTAGTGTGTGATCAGGACTTCTAAGAAGTAATGTAAGACTAAACAGAAAGAGTTGGTCATTTGACTAGTAGAGTGTACCTCCTCTGTGTCCATAATTACAATAATTTTGGAAACTTAAGTGTCAGAGGCCTGACTGAAAGTTGTCACAGGGAGATACAGCTGTGTAATTTTCTGACCATGTGCATTCCCAGGTAGATTCAGAAATGCCCAGAACTGTGTTTGGTATCCTTTTCCCCAGCTTTGGATCAAGAATTATTTTATGTTCTTTGAATATGTATGTTCATCTCTTCCCACTTTTAACACTTCCTGGGATGAATTCAAGAAAATGTCCTGCCCCTGAGAATCAGATTCAAGCTGACCTCCCGCCATGCAGGTGCCTGGAAATGAGACTCTTGGGTCTTCTGAGAAGTGATAGAGATGCTGCAGCTGAGGTCCCTGAGAATCCCAGGGCTCCTGCTGAACCCCAGTACCATTCTCGGGATAGACAATTTCAGATGATACTTTTCCTCCAGTCTTAGTGCACTGGGAACCTATGTTCTAGTCCTTGGAGCCACCAGCACACTGTGTAACTTATTCATGCTCCTGAGTCACTGTTTATGCTCCTGTAAAATGAGCCCCTGTGGGCAATTTCCTAATGCATGTTCTATGGGACAGGAATTCCACAAGACAGTTGTTGTTGTTTCTAAGAAATACTGCAACACTTACCCCCGCCCCCCTCAAGTTTCACAATGTCTATTTGCATAATGAAGTTTTTAGAAGTTCTGCTGCAAAGACATCTGTTTAAAATGACCTTCACCAGGACTTCCCAATCCCCTTTGACCCCAGAACCTCCTCTTCACACATCACCTGTTCACATGGCTTAAAATTAGAGCTTGGGGAAGTGGCTGGACCACGTGACCTCCAAGGTCCTTCCAAGCCTATGATTCTAGCCACGAGACCAGGATAAGCCCTCCAGGGTGGGCCTCTTTCCTCTCCTTCTGGAAGATTTGATCTGTTTGCTTTCAGGCTGAGTACGAATAGGCCTTACAGAATATTTATGTCTCCTAGAAAAGCAGTCTCTACGGGGTGCCAGAGAGAGAGATTATAACTCTTATTTGTATTTTTCCTAAAAATAAGGAAGCAATCAAATCTTAATTTAATGTACATATGTATAAAAGTACATGCATATAATCTGTAAGTAAATATACACTGTAGGCATCATTTCAAATATTATACATATAAATTTTTTTAAAATGTTTTTTAGTTGTTGATGGACCTTTGTTTAATTTATTTATATGTGGTGCTGAGAATTGAGCCCAGTGCCTCACACATGCTAGGCAAATGCTCTATCACTGAGCCACAACCCCAGCCCTACACTTTTTTCCTAGGAGTTCAGGATATATATATATATTCCCTCATGCCAAAATATTTGATTGTAATTGTTTAGCAGGCCTCTATGGTTCCTACTGGACATAATCCTGAGAAACAAAGCATCACAATCTAAGAAGGGTAAAGAGATTTTTACCCATCATCTACGCCTATCTGCCTTAATTTAAAACGCTGTGGCTGAACAGAGGCATCTGAACGCAAGGCTCAATCTAGTCCAGCTTCCTTCTTGCTGTGCGACACAGTATTTGTGCTTTTATTCTGGCTGGGAAAGGCTTCCAATAGGACATTTAAGGATGTGTCCCCCAGCCCTCCTCCCTGTGCCACAGCTGCTACTGCAGAGTGGCCTTCTTCCCCTCCCTCCTGACCTTACCTTGGCTTGGGCATTTCCAGCTGTCCTGTCCATCTCTTCCTCCTGGGCTTTCTGCTCTCCACAAGAACCATCAGGCAAAACAAAAACAAAATGAGTCTTGTAAAATAAGGCATTTTGTCTATGTCTACGATGCAACAGCCTGCTTTCCAGTGACCTTCAATGGGGCAGGTCTTCCCTGGCTCAACCATTGATTCCGTCTTCAGCCTCCTGACGGTGCTGCTCCGAGGGGCTGCAAGGGCATGGTTGGTGAGGCTGATTTTCCGAGTCACTATTTGATTCTGGTGCCTCTTCCACCCACACACACCACCCACCAGGCCATGACACAAACACCAGGCTTTGCCTTCCGTGCTGTTAGAGATTGGCCATTAGTCAAGAAGTTTGCCCTCCTGGGAAACTCTGCTTCCGTTCAACCCTAGAACGGCTTTGGCTAAAACTGTTACATAAAAAAAAAAAAATTAAATCTCTTGAACATGCCAGCTTTTTTGCTGAGATCATTAATCCATCTCTCTGGCGGCATAAAACCAGTCTGTCACATCAGCAGGGAGTCAGCGTGGATTTGTGCATGGAGAGGAGTGCACGAACATGTTCAGGAGATGCTGAGAAACACATGAATGACCTGTTTTCAGAATGTTGCTTTCTTTCTTGGTTTAAGAATGTGCTTCTCTGATGGAGAAGGATTCCTGCTTTTCCCCAAATACACACTTTTTTGTTTGCTTGTTTTCAGTGAAAACATATTTTATCAAATCATAAAACATATTCTTGTTTTGTAGCGCATAAACCAAATGCAAATTCATGATTATGTAAACTCTTTCCTAACATGAGCGTTAAATTAACTTTGGTCTCTGACCCTGAAATGTGTGAAGTCAAACATCATAAATTAGGTTTGATTCCTGTCCTACAATATGGAATTATGTACATTAGAAGTACAGAGATATATACAGTTAGGTTTAACTGCAGAACAAAATACTGCATGTTTAAAAACTATTTATTGCTTGCTTCTGTGTCCTAGAAATAGAGAATCTAGTGTGGTAGGAATGTAGGGAGATGGGAACAGAGGCAAGGAGGGAGAGGCAGAATGGAAATAGAATTGTGGTTTATCCTGTAGGGAAGAAAGAATCGAAAGCAGCAAAGCAGGATAACATAATCCATTTCAACTTTTTAAGGAATCCCTACTTGGGATAAGTTGGAACAGGAAAACTATAAAAACTAAAATGGATGAGATCCTTCTTGAAGGGAAGGAGAAAAGAAGAGGAATGAGATTACCAAGTTAGTTCGGAAGTGAAGTACATTTGGTGACTCCTACTCTAGGTGATGAGAGAATGGGAGAGAGAAATCAACGACAGCAAAATTCTCATTTGCAGGTAGGTCTGGAAGTTTAGTTGGAGGGTACTACCAATAACTGATGATATCCATTATAGGTGGGCAAGCGTGATGGTGAGATGAGATAAATATTGACTAGTGGAAGTTTGAGGAGACATCAGACTTCCAGATGGCCAGCAGCAGCTGGAGTCTGAGCCTGAAGCTCAGGAAAAAGGCATGAAATGGAGAAATAGTTTTGGAGTCATTAGGATAGGATGGTAGTTTAACCCCAAGAAAGAGTGAGATCTTTCAGGGGCATAGAAAAAGACCATGTTTCAGCACAGGATCTTGGAAAATCTATGCTTTTTTTCTTTTCTTTTTCATTTTATGGATTGAACCTAGAGGTGTTTTACCACTGAGCTACATTCCCAGCTCATTTTATTTTATATTTTAGACAGGGGCTCTCTAAAATGCTAAGGCTGGCCTTGAACTTGTGACTCTCCTACCTCAGCCTCCTGTGTTGCTAGGATTACAGGCATCTGCCACTGCACCCTGCAGAACTCTTGAAGGATCCATAGGGCAGCCAGAACAAAAGGAGAGAAGAACAAGAAGTTGGCTATGAAACCAAAGAGGGAGAGTTTCAGGAAGAGGATAGTTAACAGTCAGTGCAGTGAAGAGGTCAAGCAAGGTGAGAGCAGGAGACAGCTACTGAACCTGCCAACTTGGACATCATTCCTGACATGTGCAGTTTCGGTTGTGGGATGTGCTGGGAAAGCAAATTACAATGTAATTACAAATTGTAATTATAAATCACAATGGGAGTGGGAATGCATTTGTACAGGGACTCTCTTTCAGTGGTTCCCAAATCTAGCTATTTCTCAAAATTATCCAGGGAATTTTTATTTTATTGCTTACAGTAATGGAGGTCAAACCCAGATCAGAAATTTTAAAATTTAGCAGTGAAATATGAGAACAAAGTTCTTTTTTTTATGGGTTTTATTCAAAAAGATGTTTTTCCTTTCTTCCACTTGTAATAAGTCTCTAAAGGACCAACCAGAACTCTAGAATTGTGCCTGGATATTGTTAATTTTCAAGAAATAGTTGTTTTGTTACTATTCTTATGAATAGTTCATAAGAACTATTGTGATAACAGTAGAAAGAGAACCACAAGATGGATGGTATAACTTTTTACCACAACTTTATTGAATTATCATTTATATACCATAAAGTCATGCTTTTAACGGGTGATTTTTAGCATATTCAGAATTGTGCAACTATCACCACTAATTTTAGAATATTTTAATCTCCCCACAAAGAAATTGCATACCCAGGGGCTGGGATTATAGTGTCATGGTAGCATGCTTGCCTAGCACGGGTGAGGCACTGAATTGAATCCTCAGCACAACATAAAAATAAAGTATTATATGTCTATCAAAAAAAAAATCCCACACCCAGTTACAGTCACTCCCCATTCTCTTTTCCTTAGCCCCTAGCAACTATAATCTTTCTCTCTCTATGGATTTGTCTATTATAGACTTTAAACAGAATCATACAATATGCAGCCTTTTTATACCTGCTCACCATGTTTTCAAGGTTCTTCTATATTTAGTATGTTCCATCACTTCATTCTTTTTTATAGGCAAATAATATCCCATGGTTTAGATAGAACATTGATCCATTCATTAGTTGGTCCTGTAGGTTTGCACCTTTGGTCTATTAACAATGCTGCTATGGACATTTGCATGAGTTTGTGTGTGACAATGTTTTCTTTTGGATACATTTGTGGGAGGAGGATTACTGGGTCATATGGTAAGTTTGTTTTCTTGTTTTAGGAACTACCAACCCATTTTCAAAGGGACCACATAATTTTATGTTCCTACCAAAAATGTAGGAGTTTTCTAATTTCTCGGCACCCTGGCCAAACACTCATTATCTGGCTTTTAGTCTAGTCATACTTGTATTAAATAATATACATTTCCTTAATGTCTAATGATGTTGAGCTTCTTTTCATGTGGACATCGCCCATTTGTATTGCCATTTTTAAAGTCAGGTTGTCTTTTTTTTTTTTAACTATTAAATCGTAAGTATTGTTTAGATATTCTCAGTGCAAGTCCCTTATCAAATGCTTGATATGCATTTTTCTCCTGTGTTATCTTTTCACAAAATGGTGTTCTTTGGAAAAAGTATAATGGAACCTTTTCTTTGGTTGTTTGGGCTTTTTTACTTGTATCTAAGAAACCACTCCCTAGCCCACCCAATGAAGATTTACTTTCTTTCCAAGAGTTTTAAAGTTTTAGCTCCTACATTTATTATTATTATTTAGCTCTTCCATATATTTTGAGTTAATTTTTGTCTATGGCACAAAGCTATGGATGGTGTAACTCGTAACATTTGCTCATTTCTTTGAAAATGAAGGATCAACCAGTCCCACTGGTTGAAGCTCAGAATTGTAGGAAAGACCCAACTGCACTTGCTGAGGTCTAATTTATGCCAAAAAGTTAGGCAGACTGTTACACACAGCAACATCTTACAATTAGGGCTTAGTTCAACCTTAAGAACACTAGGAGAGGATCAATTCTGTGTATTAGAGAAGACTCCGACTATGGGATGAGGAATGGTACAAGATGGAAGACCTATGAAGAGGCAACTGCATTGATTTTGAGGGGGTAACAGCTAATTATGGTAGTGGCAAGAGAGCATGAAGAGAAGTGGAAAATATGAAAAAAGATATGGAAATAGAATAGACAAGTGATCAGACTAGATGGCAAAGAATACAGTCTTTGGTCAAAAACAAGGTATGAATAGTCACCAGTTTTATTGAGCATCTCAAACTAGTTCTGAAGGCACCTATTCAAGAGACATTCCAAACAGCTTCTGAGCAATGCACAGCTTCCCATGAGGGTTTCAATGGCACACATGATAATGTACACATTATTCTAGATTAAAGTAAGGTTCACTAAATGCCTTCACTTTATACTTACTTGCAAGTGATAAAACAATGTACGCTTTTCAGTACTTCACCCTAAGTTTCTGCTCAATTAAGTTCAAGTGTGTGAGGTTTACTTGTTTACTGATTCTGATCTACAAAAACAGGCAAGCTTCAAGATACCAGAATGTTTATTCATAAACCAAAAATAACAAAGAGTCCTTTATTCTCCTGAAATAGGAAACTGTATATTTCCGTAGTCAAAACAATAAACAATTTAAGATTTCTTTAAAAAATTAGTTGAGAATCTTGATGAAATTCATTTATTTCAGTAGAATAAAACAATAAGCAGCATGAAAATATAAAGTGCTACATAAAAGCCCCAATACATAAAATTTGAAAGTTCATTGGCTTTAAACAGTTACAAGTGAAACAGACAGATTTTTATCAAGCATGCTATTTTAACTACCTTAATAAGTAGTAATGTGCTATGTTGGTCAATGAAAAAGCTAAGAGTTACCTAAATCTGAGAATTGGGGTAATAAGGAGTCCTTTACATCTTTATATACCAGATTATACTTCTAGTTTGGCCTTATGCTTGAATTAAGGGTTAAAGTGAGGCTTTAAAATAACAAGTTTTCTGAAGAGACCCTTCAGTGGGGTTTCAATAAAAATGGCCCCAAAGATCAATTTAATGTGGTTTATTAACCACACAATGGGGATCAGATTGACAATTTCAGGATTTTTAGGAAGACCATTGGAGGTGAAAGAGGAAAAACGTGCCACTTCTATATGTATGTGTCAAGTGCTAAAAGACCCTGAACAATCAGGCAGGTGTCCAGTTCCTTGAGGGGTAAGGGAAGAGACACAAATCATATTAAAGAAGGATCTGCAAAATGCTTAATTGTAAAGCACAGGTACAGCCTGTGGAAACAGTCAAGATCATATACATCCAGAGGCTGGCTCAAGTTTGAGAGGAAATAGAAAGAAGATTGTTCCTAGCGCATGATTAATCTCAGCATAGGTTGAGGGCATGGGATTTATTTCTTAGGTGATGCCAATACCTGGTCTTCCCAGTTGGGTAGACAACTGACCCAATATTTCTAATATCTTGGGTTATAAACCAAGACTTCAGGATGTATTTTCTCATGGCAATAAAATTATAAAATGGAATCTATAATTTTCCTGACATGAGGTCTTCATAAGTCCTTAGGTTTTTCAGACTACCAACTTCAGCTAGACATAACAGAAAAAAAAAAACCTGAACAACTTTAAAATGCTAATTTATTAAAGTTTAAGACAACTCTATATTATATAATAGTATGCAATATGTTCTTATTTTAGATGCAGAATTAATGGAAAACTGGCCATCAAGTAAAAATAGAA